CTGTTGTCTCGACGTCCTCTTTGCAGCGGGGAAACGGACAGTGCCAGCAGGGTCTTGAAAGACCCTGGGCCGAGCGTCCCTCTGCCAGGTGGATTTGGCTGCGTCCTCACTGTCCTCTGCTGCCGATTTGTGGTAGTAAGACTGGCACTCGCTCAGAGCCACTTTAATGCAGCCTACCCCCTCGAGGTCCACGGGCCTGCCTGTCAGGAGGTGGCTGCACTTCCACGGGGCGCTCCTGGTGCACGACGTGACCTGGTCGAAGTGGGCGGGCAGACGGGCTTCCCTGGTGTTTTGTCAGGTGTCGCCTCTCTGGTCAGCCGTCTGAGCCCTGTTGCTGCTTCGCAGAGCCACTTTACCTTCTTCCACACCTCCTCGTAGGAGGTGCCAATAGTCTCCTTGGCAGCTGGGTCTCCCCGGTTGCCCCTCTCTGTCTCTGGGCCCTCAGTGGGAGGGCTCGGTGGGCTATCCACCAGTTCAGGTCTCTGCGGTCTTTCACGTGTTTCCTCACGGCTTGACAAGCATCGCCCAGGACCAAGTCCACGATGCATCTCACCGCCTCCTGCATCTTCTTGTGGTTGGCCACGGGTGTGGGGCCTGCACTCTGCAGCCCGTACCCACTGCGCAACTCGATCAGGGTCTTGTAGCTCCACAGCAGGTTCCTGAGCCACGGTCGGACCGCTGGTCAGCACGAAAACTGCCTGCTGTCTTGGGAGGTGTCCTGCAAAATATCGCACGAGCCCGGCTGTGTCGGACCGTGCACCCGGCGCCAGTTTGCAGATCCAGCTCGTGTACTTTGCCCGCAGGAACAGGAGGATGTCTGGCATGCCCCTTCCTCCAGCCCGTTCAGTCTTGTGCAGGGGCTTCCTCGCTGCCTTTGCCCATGTGGATCCCCACAAGAAAATGCACGAGGCTCCCTGGATCCTGTGGGCGACCTGCTTGGATGTGGGCAGGACCCATGCAGTGTACAAAGCACTAGTACAGCACTACCTTCATGAGCGCCAGTCACCCCCCCAGAGAGGCAGCGCAAATGCCGCGGACCCATCTGCTATCTCTTCACCTCTGATATTTCCCATGTTTTCTTGCCATTCAGCTCAGGATTGAAGACCACCCCCCTGTGCCCCTCTGTCCTTGTCCTGGATGCACGGGTACCAGCCAGGGCAGCCGCGCCAGGAAGGTGCCCATGGCTCCCTTGACCCAAAGCTGCAGCATCCCCCATCCTCCTCGTGTCTGTCCCGTGAGTGGCGGGTTCTCCAGTCCCCGGTGGGAGAGTGCAGAGGGGACCCAGACCTGGCCCCCCGCTCCCTGTGCCTGTGCTCATTTCCCCGGCAGCCTTGCCGTGGCCCCTGCTCGGGTGTTGGCACAGCGGAGCGCTGGCCCAGGGCAACCCGAGGAGCTGGCACATGTTTGAATGGTGGAAGCTCATCCAGCACGTGCCAGTTGTGCCCCTACCCTTGCGGAGGGGCCAGCTGCATTCACCCACCCCCATGCCCCAGGGCTGGGCCAGAGGGTGGCACAGCGCTGGCAAACTATGCGGGCTGGGGAGTGGCAGGGGCTGGAGGTTTGCATGGTTGCTCTGTGCCTATAACCCCGTGTTGCCTCTACTCCCCTCCTGCAGCACCGCCTGTGCACACCCCTGTCCTGCCCCGGGGCACATCAACCGAACACGCTGGGGCCCAGGCTGGGTTCGTCTGGTCCTAGCCAAGCCCTCAACCCGCTTCGGCTGCTTTCCAAGCTCCTCGCTGTGCCTGCGTCCCCGGAGCAACCCCGGCCTGGCACTGCCAGCAGCATGACCCCAGCTTTCCCAACCAGCTCCTTTCCAGAGTTTTGTTTAGTCCAGCCCCTCCCGCGAAGTCCTGTCTGAACGGGAAACGTTAGACCGGCTCCGATCATAATCTACCTGCAGTGATGCTGAAATGCAGGCACGGTCTCGAATATGCTTTGGGATCCTAATGCAAGACGATTTATCAGGACGGTATTATCAGAGTCCTGACAAGATGGGCCCCTTTCAGGCGCGTCCAGCTGGACACCCGAGGGCTGCAAAAATATCAGCCACGTTTGAAAACTGGTTGGGAAGCACAGGCTGCATCAGTCAGAGGGAAGTTCACAAACCTAGAGTTTGCAGGGCCCACTTTTTAAGTTGAAAAAACATCTTCCTTTCGAGCACGTTTTAACCTTAAAAGCTCCAAGCCTTTTACAGGGTACGCGCAAGTGCAAAGCCACCTCCGGGGTGGAACAAGGTATCCATTTTAAGGCAGAAAGGGAGAAAAGTTGCCAGAGGCTCTTCCCACCCCGAGACGCTTAGTAGGAGGAGCAGGAGGGAATTTGCCATGAGCAAGGTCTTTATTGAAGTGTCCCCCGAAGGGGAAAGAGGTGCCGCCCGCTCGGGGCTCCAGCGCCTTCTAGTTGTGTAGTCCATCACCTGACTGCTGCTGCCCGGGGACGAAGCACAGCCCGTCCCGGCAGCCAAGCACGCAAGGCTTTCCGGCCATGCCCGTTCACCTGCCAGCCAGGAGCCTTGGAGCAGAGCCACCAGGCCCAGGGTGTGCGGCGCACGAGGAGTCTTGTCCCGCTGCTGCGTGTGGGGAGGTGGAGGTGGCGGCGGAGCGGGGCCTGGGCTTGGCTTGGTGGGGATGCAGGCGGCAGAGGCCTTGGGGCCGAAGGCGGCCGTGGTGCAATGCTGATCCCCAGGACTGGCCCCTGCCTTCAGCTATGCGGGCTGGAGAAAGGTGCTGGGTGAGAGCCAGGCTTGTGCGGCACCCTGGACACTGCTGCCCATGCACACAGCGCAGGCTGGGCCTTCCCCTCGCCTGCAGCGGCCGAGGCTCCCGCTGGCCCAGCTCGGTGGGGAAATGCGGCTGCCTCTGGGGTGGCATGCAGTAGCACAGGCACCGCAGGGCTCTCACCTGTCCTGAACTGGGCCCTCTGAGCCTGCTGCTGTCTCGGGCTGCCATTGGAGGGTGGTGGTGGCCACCCCGGCAGGGCTCTTCACCACGCACATGAAATGGGTGTTCAGGTCCCGGTTGGAGAAGGACTTGAATCGCAGCTCCCGCCACATCACGACGCCGGTGCCTGTGGGCTCCTTCCTGCAGACGGAGGCATGGATGAGCCTCGAGCATCCCTCGCATGAGCCGTGCCATGCCCTTGGCTGGCCCAGTGCTGGGCACCGGCAGGAGCCCCAGCCCCACGAGCCAGCCCCAGGGGTCCTGCCAAAACGGCCTGACACTCACCGCACGGCCCCTTCCTCCACAGCGCCGTCGGGGTACAGTTTCTCGACGAAAGAGAGGTTCGCCAGCCAGTACATAATCGTCATGTCCTGGAAGGCGCTCTTCGCCTCGCATGACACGGAGAAGTTTGCCCCTGTGGGAGGAAGCAGGGCCAGGCGTGGGGCTTTATCCTGGGGGTCTCGGGCTCTTTGACCCGTGCAGCGCTGGAGCAGGAGGTGGGTGTCAGCGGGGTGGGGTTGGGGGTGTACTTACCCAGGGCAGGTCTCGGGAGCGGTTTGAGGGGGTAGATGATCTCCGGGAGCAGCTTGGAGCTCGCATCTGAGGACAGAGAGCAGCTGGTGAAGTGGGGAAGGGGGTCTGGGACTGGGGGCGCTGCTCTGCCTGGCTCTTGGGGGTAGGGCACTGGCTGTACAGGCAGGGAAACTGAGGCACGGCACGGTCAGGGGCCAGGCTCAGCCCAGGTGCCCCAAAGGGGACCCTGCTTCTCCCCCCTGCCTAAGTAGGCTTTGGCCACAGCCTCGCCCCAACCTGCCCACGCCTTACCCGTGCGGCAG